ACGCGAGAGGGCACGGGACCCTTCTGAGGGCCACACTGCCGCAGGAATGCAGGAGGCACGGGTCGCGAGGCACGGGACACCAGGGTGCCCTCGATTTGGCAGGGTCGACCTACTAATCCGGGCCGACTGTACCGAGGAGGGAGGGGCCCAGGGACGCGCACAGAAACACATGCAGACCACAGGATTCCTCATGTTTCTCATGTTTTCCTGATTTTCGTCTTCCCCCCACTTCCCAGAGTTTCCCGTATTGTCCTAGGAGTCGACGATTAAGTGTGTCAGTGTTTTTTTTGTCCCCTCCTCCTGATGAGATCAGAGATCCCCGTCACCGTCGACCCCAAAATCTCGCCGTCGCCGCAGGAGACCCCCAGATTTGTGCTGACTTGGGCGCTAACTTCTCTGAGCCGAATTGCTTTGGCAGTGACGCGCTTGGCTTTCCGAAGCCGCTCGTCCTGCTCACCAGTGCGCCTTGCAGGGTCATCGTTAGCATCGGTGCGCTGGACAGGAAACGCACAGCTGCTTGGCCTCGAGGCCTCGGACACGGCCCATCATAGCGTCATGGAACTGATTAACCACCTGAGCCATGGGCCCTATAGCCTGCAACAAAAATTCGCCCAAGAGATTTTGAAACTGGTCTGCCAGAAACTGCTATTGAAGCTTTCCAATCAGCGTGTGAAAGCATAACCTCGCGAGTGCCAGTGCGCAGGAACACCCAGCAGCAACCGTGCCGTTCGCCTCAATAGCTGGAGAGACAGCTCCCTCCCAGACAGCACGTCGAGGAAGCCTGTGAACTGCGCAGAGGCGCCAGAGCAATTCCAGGCGGAATCCTGTGAGAACTGCCTCGCGCTTGAGCTCATCATGTGACATGAACTCATCGTTTTTACTCAAGCCGATCACTCCACTGCTGTCCGAGAACCCTTTGAGTCTCGCGCAACGCTGCAAAATATTGTGCACGTGGCCAGACCTATCACATGTGTGTGTGTGTGTGTGTGTGCAGAGTCTCCCCCATGGCAGGGTTCTCCAATGTCTGTTCCGAGCGACGCGCGACAGGCTGACGAAGCCTCGACAGGCTGACGCCACACCGGCAACAACGCAATCGGTTGGACACCGCCTGGGGGACTGGGCTTGCCAATGAAAGAAGCCAGGAGCAGCCGCGAGGCAATGCTCTGAGGCTGGAGCTCCCAGGCCGCAAGAATGTCTAGGAACGCCCTGCGATGCGATGGCGGCAGCCATGACAATTGGCGGGTGTGCAGCTTATCCCAACCAAGACTGGCAGACGACAAGTAGGTCTCGAGGACATGATCCAGTTGCTCCTCGTCGGCGGGAGCAGCGGCTCGAGAGGATCTCAAGCCTGCTGAAACCCGTCGGCGCCCGCGCAGGTTGCCGGGGCGACGTCCTCCTCCCTCCGAGCCTCCTCGCAGATGGCGTCGAGGTCCCACGACGCGGGGTGGGCCGCCTGGGCCTTGGCAGGCGAAACCCAAAACAGGCTCCCAGTCCGGCGCGATCCTGGTCAGCGCTTGTGATCCCGAGACAAGGGAGGGGAGGGTGCCTATGCCTTCCCGAGGCGAGGGCCTGCGAGGGCTGCGCGCTATCTTGCGCGAACTTGAATGCTGCGCTGCCGCCCTTCCCCTGGGCAGCCGTCTGAGCCCGGGCCCTCCAGAACTTCGAGCTGCCATCCCGAACGTGACGGAGAAGCTGCTCGAGAGGGCGACGTGCATCCATCGGAACTCGCTTAACGGCCTGGATAGAGACCGCGGCGCCAGACGAGAGGACATCTACCAGTTGCTGCATGGGCCTGGCCGACCCCTCGGCCAGAGGGCCTTCACTCGGCCAAGCAACATCAAAGCCTAGCGCCGTCCGGCGCCACCTGCGGAGTGCAGCGAGCTTGGGCCCACGCCGACCACGGGCTGCCGAGCCGAGAGGCGCAAGGCGAAAAGCTGCCGAGTAGAAGCGGGACCAGGCTCGATACTCAGACGAGGTGTTCTGGCGGAGCGATTCTCGCCAGCAGACCTTCAAAGGCCGTGTAACTGTCTGGAGGCCTGCGTCGCGACCCCTCCACTGGCTCTGACACCAGGCCTGGAGGTCATGATGAAATTCAGCTAGATAGGCCTCCGCATGCCTAAGCCACTCAGCGCACGCCTCGCTGAGATCTGCCGGGAACGCCTGCCCAATAGCGCAGGGCCAGTCCCTAGCGGAGGCTTCCCGGGGTGCGGGCCTCACAGGAAGAGGCTTGGCTATAGGGAAAAACATGGGCTGCAAGGTCTGGATGATGATAGCCTTCCTGCTAAGCCCCTGAAGCTTGACAGACACTGCGCTGTGCATCTGCGCCGGAGCTGCTGGAAGGGGCTGTGCACTTCTCACGAACTTGGCCAGCACCTCGATGCAGGCGCCGAAATCAATCTCCCTGACTCCGCAAGTCGGCTCCCACGTGCGAAGGCAGACGCCGCGAGCACGAGCAGTCCAGGTGCCCACATCGCTGGGAAGCAATTTCCAGTGCCCCAGCAGCACCTGCGGCCCATCCAGGCTGCCCAGGTAAGAGAGCAGCGACGCCAGGATGGATGCGTTTTCTTTCGCAAGCCCGACCGACGTGACAAGGTAAAGCGAAGCAACCTAGACCGGGATCGAACGGCCCATATTAACCTTCGCCGTTGAAGCTCGGTGCCCAGGGAGGTGTAGACGAGCAGAGCTGGGCTCCTTCACCGCGGGAAGGCTCGACAGCGCCGCAACGCCCCCACTGAACTCCAAAGCGCCCTCGCAGGTGACCTCCACGAAATCACCCATCAGCTTGAAGCCTCGTTGTCGATACCACTTGACTGCAGACTTCCACATCCCGTTGTAGTTGATACGAAGTTCTTGGATGCGGAGACACTGCGGTAGGCAAACGTTGCTCGTGTCATGCCTGATCCATTCCATCAGCGACTGGGCCGTCGACCACTGCGACGTGTGCGCTGAAATAATATTGTGGCCGCCCGCTACGTCACCCACGGCGCTGCTTCTTGGCGCGCGAGCCGAGAGGCTCCTGGAACCGCTTGAAGGCAGCCTTGTCCTCGTCAGCGGTGTAGCCAGCCTCAGCGACGTCTCGCTGGAGCTCCCCATCGTCAGGGCCGAACTCGAGCCCTCCGTCGATGGGCATTGCCGAAGCAGCGTCGAGAACCCCAGCCGTGGAACCGCCAGCTGGAGCACCAGGAGCCACGGCAGGGGCGTCAGCCGCAGGCGCCGCCTGCGCCTTGGCTTTGGCCTTCTGCTTGGCTTCGTCCATCTTGACACGGGCCGGGGCCACCCGCGTGGAGATGTCCGGGCCGAGATGCTCTTTGTGGCCCAGGGCGAGGCGCGCGTGGAGCGCCCGCCGGCCGGCCAGGGCACCTTCAGGAGTATCGTCAGCGGGCTCGGGGGTGGCCAAGAGGGGGGCGTGTTGGGCCCGGGGGTGGGCTCGGGGGCTCGTCAGCGGGCTCGGGGGGGCGCAAGTTGTGGCCCGAGACACGTGCGCGGACCAGGGGGCGCCAGGGGACGTATTGAAATAAGAAGAGGGGCCATGACATCTGGGGACATATCATGGCCACCGCCATGATATCCACCCCCTCCCTAGTCATCACCCCCCTCCTGGCCGTCCCCGAGAGGAGCGTGTTGAGCGCCTCCAGGCTGGCCAACGTCTCTTCAGGATTATCGTCCGTGGGCGTGCCAGGCATGACAGACCAGGTCTGGGCCTCACGAGTGGCTGCCTTGAGCTTGCGCAGGTAGGCTCTTTGTGCTCCGTGATGGCCTTCTTTGCCTCGGCTGCGAGCTGGAGGGCTTCATCAACGGCCCGGTCGGCGGCACGCCCTCTGGCCCTGGCGGCCTCGAGTTGTTTCTCTCTCGCTTCCTGCGTTGGAGGAGGTCCTGCAGGCCCTTCTGGGGGAGGTCTGCAGGCGGTGGCTGAGCTGGCTCCTCCGTCTGCGCCTCGGCGAACTCGACGATCTCCGAGACATCCTTGCCTGAGGAGCACGCGAACTCCTTTGGGGCAAGGACGACCAGCTCTTTCTGGGACACGGGGACTGGTACCGGCGGCGGTACCATTGGTGCCCTTGCCCTTGTTCTTATCTGTCGTGTTGGCCTCCACGTGGTGGCGGCCCATTAGCCCACTAGCCTCGGAGATTGAGGGTCCAGGGGGTGGCATCACCAGGAAATCGCAACTGCTTGAGCACACGCTGGTGCGCGCGCTGTCCACATTCACGACACTGGCTGCGCCACATGAAGTTCCCGCAGATGCAACTCGCCTTCGAGCAGACCCATGTTTTCGCCCACGAGGTGTCGCCATGTTTGTCCATGGGCACAGGGGATTGTCACGTGTGAGGCTCTGGGCCGCTGCGCCAATTCCAAGTGCGCGACCCAAAAGGTTCATCAAGAGACCTGGAAATGGCTGGGAGGAGGAGGAGCAGGAGGAGGAGGAGGAGGAGAAGGAGGAGGAGCAGGAGGAGGAGGAGGAGGAGGAGGAAAAGGTGGAGGAAGAGGAGGAGGAGCAGGAGGAGGAGGAGGAGGAGGAGGAGGAGGAGGAGAGGAGAAGAGCAGGAAGGAGGAGGAGGAGGAGAGGAGGAGGAGGAAGGAGGAGAGGAGAAGAGAAGGGTGGAGAGGAGGAGGGGGAGCGGGAGCGTACCCCTGGAGGAGGCGGAGGAGGAGGAGGAGGAGGAGGAGGAGGAGAGGTAGGAGGAGGAGGAGGAAAAGGTGGAGGAAAAGGAGGAGGAGTAGGAGGAGGAGAGGAGAGGAGGGAAGGAAGGAGCAGGAGGAGGAGGTGGAGGAGGAGGAGGAGCAGGAGGAGGAGGAGGAGAAGGTGGAGGAGGAGGAGGAGAAGGAGCAGGAGGAGGTGGAGATGGAGGAGGAGGAGAAGGTGGAGGAGGAGGAGGAGGAGGAGGCGGAGGAGGAGGAGGAGGAGGAGGAGGAGGAGGAGGAGGAGGATGGCGGCCAGGACTACCTGCGGGCCTTCCGGGGGCTGCCCGTGCACAGCCCCAAGCCGCTCCGGCTCAGAGTACCTACTTGTTCACATTGGCCAGGTCCTGGCAGCTTTCCTTGACGCGCTTCACCATGCTGACCTCCGACTCGCGGACCCACTTGCGCGGGTCGTAGTAGCTCTTGTTCGGCTTCTCCGGGCCCTCTGGGTTGCCGATCTGCCCCTGCAAATAACCCTCCTTGGCCTTGTAGAACTTCAGCAGGCCCTCCCAGTACGCCCACTGGGTGTCCGTGTCGACGTTCATCTTCACTACGCCGGCTTCCAACGCCGTCGCGATGTCGGCCTTCTCGGAGCCGCTGCCGCCATGAAAAACGAAGAATAGCGGGTTGGTGATACCCGTCTTCTCCGTGGCGTGCTTCTGGAAGCTGTGCAACAACTCTGGCTGTAACTTGACGTTCCCCGCCTTGTAGACGCCGTGCACGTTGCCAAATGCCGCCGCGATGGTGAACATGTGGGAGATGGGGGACAGGCCCGTATACACCTTGAAGACGTCCTCGGGGGTCGAGTACAGCTTCTCCTTGGAGACGCCGCTGTTGTCGACGCCGTCCTTCCATGAATATGAACTTTCGACGCTCTGCGCGGATTCCTTGGAACGGCGCCAGACGCCCCTGGCGCGCTCCGCGCGCCAGGGAAGTGGTTCCAGCGCAGATCCAAGAAATCTGGGTGGATCTCTGGCATTCTGTGTATATGCCGTTTTCTCTACCCCTTGCGTAATCCTCGACACCGCCAGTGATTCCGATCTCCATCTCCAAAATCAGCTTCATGGGGGCCATCCGCTTCAGGTACTTAGCACAGATCTCGATGTTCTCTTCGTCGGGCTCCTGGCGCGCATATACCCCAAGCGTGTCTGGCAAAAGAGAGACTATTCGAGGTGCACGCGGAGGCAAACTCACGCTTACGCACGCGCACACTGTGCCCGCGCGCACGCAACATGCCTCATCGCGCGCACGCAGGCGCGGTGCGCAGAACAACTGGGACGGCGAGGCAGGCTGGAGGCGGCCAGGGGGTATGAACTGGTTGGGCCCCGAGAAGGTCAGTCAAATCCGCTCAAATTCATTCGGTCTCCGGACCACTCCAGGGGTCGGGAGTGGCCAAGAGGGGGGTGTCCAAGAGGGGGGGGGTGCAAATCATGACCGGCGGCATGTGCGCGGCCCAGCAGGGGGGCCAGGGACGTAATGAAACAAGAAGAGGCGCCATGAAATCTGGGGAAATATCATGGCCCCCGCCATGAAATCCACCCCCCCCCTAGTCATCACCCCCCTCTTTTCCGCCCCCGACAGGGGTCCAGCTGGTGCAAGTTCTCAGCCCGGGCCCGGTTCAGACGGTCCCGGGGCTGGAACACGGCCCCAGCGGCCGAGCAAGAACGAGAAGCCTTTTCTCGAGCCCAGAGCCTCGAGCACCCTTCCTGCTTGCCCGAAACAGTGCTGGGCCACATCAGACTCCCAGCTGTGAAGGGGCCCTGGGACACACAAATAAATACACACAAATGAAACCCATCCCCATATTTTCCGATATTTTCTGGGTTTCTGTCTTCCCGCCCAATTCCCATGTTTTCCCGTATTTTCTGGGGAATCGAGGATTCATTGTGTCTGTGTGTTTTTTCCCTCCCTGGCTTGTGCTCGATCCCCCCGCTGGGCCTCGAGCGGCCACCTCCGGGCGGCTCCCGACCGGGCGCGACCGATGAAGAGCGCCGGGGCCCAGACACCTCCACGCCACCCCCCGAAGAAAGCTCTCCAGCCCTCGTCACCGTCATCCTCGTCGTCGACATCGCCATCGTCGTCGACATCGCCACCGCCGTCGTCGTTGTCGTTGTCGTCGTCGTCGTCGTCGTCGTCGTCGTCGTCGTCGTCGTCGTCATCGTCGTCGTCGTCGTCGTCGTCGTCGTCGTCGTCGTCGTCAACGTCGTCGTCGTCGTCCTCGTCGTCGTCGTCGTCGTCAACGTCGTCGTCGTCGTCCTCGTCGTCGTCGTCGTCGTCGTTGTCGTTGTCGTCGTCGTCGTCGTCGTTGTCGTCGTCATCGTCGTCATCGTCGTCATCGTCATCGTCGTCGTCGTCGTCGCCGCTGCCGCCGCCGCTCGTCATCGTCATCGTCATCGTTTTCGTCATCGTCATCGTTTTCGTCGTCGTCGTCGTCGTCGTCGTCGTCGTCGTCGTCATCGTCGTCGTCGTCGTCTCCCTCCTCCTTCTCCTCTCCTGCCTCTCCTCAGGAAGAAGCGGCGACACGAGCACGAGCCTCCAGACGCACGCGCGGGGGTTTCTTGGGTCGGCTCTGGACCCCCGCCGAGCGCCGCGCGCCGGGGGCCGTGGGGGTGGTCCAGCGCTTCTCTCCTTCGATCCTCGCCGTCGTCGGAGGTGCCGGGGCATTGCAGCACACGCCCGGCGGCGGGGCCGAGACCGGCTTCGTACCCTCCCCTCTCCCAATCGATGTCATCGTCATCGTCATCGTCATCGTCATCGCCATCGCCATCGTCATCGTCACCGTCATCGTCACCCCGTCGTCCGAGCCCAACTCGCTCGCTCGACGTCGGCATGGGAATGAGCCGCGCTCGGCCGCGAGGGCGGGGCAGGGCAGCGCAGTGGACCACCGACGCCACCTGCCCGTCCCTCCCCAGGAGGGGCGAACTAGAGAAAAACAAAACGCGGCATGAGCATGATCAACACGGAGGTCCGCGCGGATTAGTTGGACTGGCGCTGGGTTCCCCTCCTTAGCACGCGGAGCGCGCCAGGGATGGCGCCGGATGCGCCGCCAGGGGAGCCCAGCGCCGATCCAAGAAATCCGCGCGGAGCTCAAAGAAATTGTGTTCATGCTATTTCTTATTCTTCGGAAGCATGGTTGACCCATGAACCGGGAAATAAATTCAGAAAAGCGAGGCGTGGCTACGTTTTCAAGACACCTGATTGGGCGACAGGCAATTGCAACGCTGAAAACATCGACCGTGACGTACCGTGCAGAAGATTGTGCTGTGCTGTGCCGTGCTGAAACGACATGTGCCATGCCGCAATCAAGTGCGTTGCGCTCCATAGTGTTGTGGATCGAGTCGCCCTTGGTTTCCGAATCCTGACCGAACTGATCTGGATCTTAAGCTCGAGCTGCCTGAACGCATAGCTAGCCCAGAACTGGTTGCAATCGAAACGTGTGGGACGCTCAATCAGCTCGAGCTCAAGATCCGACTCGATTCCAAAGCGGGACGAGACGACACAGGGCGCAGGGCGCATGGACGCGCCACGGAATGTGCAGGGAAAGCGCCAGGGGACGAGCCAGGGAACGCGACAGAGGACGAGCCTGGGGACGCGCCGAAGGGGGGAGGGGCATACACCGTCCCGCTCTGGGGCGTCAGGAATCTATGAGTTTTTCACGCTTGTCCTGCTCTGGGGCGCTAGGAGCCCACTTGTTTTCATGTATCCAGGCCACCCAGGGACGGATACCTAACATGTGGTAATGAAAACACGAGGTTCCACCTCGGGGCAACCATATTAGATACAACCCTGGGTGGTCTGGACATGTAAGAACACGCAGTTCCAGCTCGGGGCGACCATGTTAGAACCCCTGGGTGGCCTGGACACATATGACACTAGCTTGACGAAGGACCCGACCGCATGCAGCTGCGAGTATCGAGAAGCAGGTGAGACGAAGGAGGGGGCCAACAAGGCATGCGACCACCGCCACTGGGGCCACGAAACGCTGTTCTGAGTGGGGGAGACGCATGCGGACACCGCCACTGGGGCCTTCGGTGGAGCTCCCTATGGGGGCACGAAGCGCTGTACTGGGTGGGGGCGACGCATGCGGACACCGCCAGTGTGGCCTTCGGTGAGCTCCCTATGGGGCCGCGAAACGCTATACCGGGTGGGGGAACCGCGTGCGAACACCGCCGCTGGGGCCTTCGGCGGAGCTTCCTATGGGGCCACGAAACGCTATACTGGGTGGGGGAATCGCAGGCGGACGCCCCCAGTGGCGCCTTCGGTGGAGCTCTTCATGGGGCCACGAAGCGCTGTACTAAGTGGGGGAACTGCGTGCGGACACCGCCACTGGAGCCTCCGGTGGAGTTCCCTATGTGGCCACGAAGCGCTGTGCAAGGTGGGGGAAACGCAGGCGGACGCCCCCACTGGCGCCTTCGGTGGAGCTCCTCATGGGGCCACGAAGCGCTGTACTAAGTGGGGGGACTGCGTGCGGACACCGCCACTGGGGCCTCCGGTGGAGCTCCCTATGGGCCCCGGAACGCTGTACTGAGTGGGGGAACCGCATGCGGACACCGCCACTGGGACCTTCGGTGAAGCTCCCTATGTGGCCACAAAGCGCTGTACTGGGTGGGGGAACCGCATGCGGACATCTTCACTGGGGCCTTCGGTGGGGTTCACTATGGGGCCACGACGCGCTGTACAAGGTGGGGGAAACGCACGCGGTCACCGCCACTGGGGCCTTCGGTGAAGCTCCCTACTGCCGTTGGCGTAAAAACACCTGCCATGCATGATGGGCAACGCTGCTGTGTTCCGAACTCCCCTGCCTCCGAACTTCAATGTTGAAAACGGGGTTGCCATGGCGGTGGAGTTTTGGGCATTTTTTAATGCCGATGCTTGCACCCCGGCAACGGCCGCGAACGCAGCATTCGAATGGGCGTTCCAGGGGTGGTACCGTTGACGCAACGTCTGTGGATATGCGCGTTTTACGCCAACAGCGATTTGGGGCCATGACGCGCTGTACTGGGTGGGGGAACCGCATGCGGACACCGCCACTGAGGCCTTCAGTGGAGCTCGGGAGACGGGTGCGGACACCGCCACAGGGGCCTCCGGAGGAGCTCCCTATGTGGCCACGAAGCGCTGTACTGGGTGGGGGAACCACATGCGGACACCGCCGCTGGGGCCTTCGGTGGGTCTCACTATAGGGACACGACGCGCTGTACTGGGTGGGGGAACCGCATGCGGACACCGCCACTGAGGCATTCGGTGGAGCTCCCTATGTGGCCACGAAGCGTTGAACCGGGTGGGGGGACCGCATGCGGACACCGCCACTGGGGCCTTCGGTGGAGCTTCCTATGGGGCCACGAAGTGCTGGTGTACTGAGTGGGGGCGACGCATGCGGACACCGCCAGTGTGGCCTTCGGTGGAAGCTCCCTATGTGGCAACGAAGCGCTGTACTGGGTGGGGGAACCGCATGCGGACACCTTCACTGGGGCCTTCGGTGGGGCTCACTATGGGGGCACGAAGCGCTGTACTGGGTCGGGGAACTGCATGCGGACACCGCCATTGAGGCATTCGGTGGAGCTCCCTATGGGCCACGAAGCGTTGAACTGGGTGGGGGAACCGCATGTGGACACCGCCAGTGGGGCCTTCGGTGGAGCTCCCTGTGGGGTCGCGAATCGTGCTAGGTGTGGGAACCACATGCGGACACCTTTACTGGGGCCTCCGGTGGGGCTCCCTATGGGGCCACGGAATGCTGTACTGGGTGGGGAAACCATATGCTGACACGGCCATTGAGGCATTCGGTGGAGCTCCCTATGTGGCCACGAAGCGTTGAACTGGGTGGGGGAGCCACTGAGGCCTTCGGTGGAGCTCCCTATATGGCCACGATCCTCGTGAGGAGTGTGCCGAACTGGCCCGAGTCTGTCATGCTGACCCTGCCTTGGGGCCTTCGGTGGAGCTCCCTATGGGGCCAAGATCCTCGTGAGAGGTTGCCGAACTGGCCCGAGTCCGCCATGCGGACCCTGCCATTGGGGCCTTCAGTGGAGCTCCTATGGGGCCAGGAGGGATAGGAGGATGAGGAGGAGGAGGAGGAGGAGGATGAGGAGTAGGAGGAAGGATCGGAGGAGACGCGGGGCGCTGTCTCTTCAAAACAAGGGCCCAACACCACAAGATGGTTGGGATCAATGGCTCCGGCTCAAAACCACCATGTTAGATCCTGGGTGGCCTGGAAACTTAAAACACGTGATTCGAACTCGTGACAACCATGCCAAATATTCCCCTTGGCGGCCCTGACAAGCACAACCGCGTGGTTCCAGCTCGGGACCACCATTTTAGATACCTGTCTTGGTGGCCTGTGCACGTGAACACACGTGCTTCCGGCTCGGGGCCACAATGTTGGATACCTCCATGGGAAGTCTGGCACATTCACCGCCGACGAAGCTGTGTCTGGTTATCACACATCGCGTGTCGCTTTATCCTCCCGCCTCCTCACTCCTCCTCCTCCTCCTCCTCCTCCTCCTCCTCCTCTGGCTCTTGTGGACCCCCCACACTGGGGGCGCCCAGGCGACCACATGTCAGAGACTACCCCTTGGGTGGCCCGCACACGTAAACACACGTGGCTCCAGCTCGGGGCAACCATGCCATATGCCCCTCTGGATTGCCTGGACACGTAAAAACACGTGGTTCCAGCTCGGGGCAACCATGCCAGATGCACCTCTGGGTGGCCTGGGCACGTAAAAACACGTGGTTCCAGCTCGGGGCAACCGTGCCAAATGCACCTCTGGGTGGCCTGGACACGCAATCATCCAGGCGGAAGGCCCAACCAGATGCAATTGTGAATACCGCAATTGTGACTCTCTTCTTCGGTGGAGCTCCCTCTAGGGCCACGAAACGCTGCACTGGGTGTGGGAGAACGCATGCGGGCGGTAGCACTGGGGCCGTCGGTGGAGCTCCGTATGGGGCCACGAAGCGCTGTACTGGGTGGGGGGGACGCATGCGGGCGGTAGCACTGAGGCCGTCGGTAGAGCTCCCTATGGGGCCACGAAACGTGTGAGGGGTGTGCTGAAACGGGTGATGACGATGATGATGGAGGAGGAGGGGGAAGAGGAAGGAAGGAGGAACGCGGGGCGCTGTCTCTTCAGAACGAGGACCCCCCACCACAGGATGGTTGGGCAAAAACGTGGTTCCAGCACGGCGCCACCATGTTGGATACCCCACTGGGTGGCCTGGACAACTAAAAACACATGGCTCCAGCGCGGGACCGCAATCTTAGATGCCCCTCTGGATGGCCTGGACACGTGAAAACAAATGGCTCCATCTAGGGACAACCATTTTAGATACCCCCCTGGGCGACCTGGGCACGTGAAGACAAGCATTTCGCACGAGACATCCTCTGAATCCTGGCCCTCAGGAGAAGAACACACTATAGCACAAACATTCGCAACAAAAGAACATGCTTACTTCACCCTGTGCTTTATCGATCGGAAATGCGAAAAAAGACAGCGTTTCGCCGCTGGGAACGTTCGAAATATCTGCCGGTAGCGGGTGCGTCGCCTGTCTGTCTAGTCATCGTATGTGCTTTTGGAGGGCCCTGACTGTGGCTTGGGAGGGCCGTGACGTCGCCAATGAATGTAGCGAAAACTTGTGGAGAATACCGGCTACTTTTCGGAAGTTCTTTGCGAATAAGGTGTCAGGAAAGCGTGCCTAGGCAGGCTGCTTGATCGGCTGCTGCGATGGGGGTCGGACACACGTCACTTTGAGATGTGCCGCATTCGGATCCGGATTCTAGCCATTGCTCGGCCGATAGGACCGTCGGCAGTGAAGGTGAATGTTGGGGGACATTCTGAACATCTATTCCGCTGCCCCCCTTCGACCTGTGATTTATCGTATATATATATATATATATATATATATGTGGGCCCTCTTCGAACTTGGCACTGTGACACATGTACCACACCTAAGGAAACCCTGGGCCCGAGCCCTTTTCTGGGAACAAGCAATTACCCCAGTGCGACCCTACCTAGAAGTTGGAACCCCTAGGAAAGCAGCATTGGTTGCTATGCTATGCTACGCTATGCTATGCTAAGCTATGCTATGTCATGCTGCGCTGTGCTATGCTAAGCTATGCTATGCTAAGCTGCACTATGCTATGCTATGCTGCGCTATGCTATGCTATGCTGGGCTATGCTATGATATGCTGTACTGCGCTATGCTATGCTACGCTATGCTATGCTATGCTGTGCTCTGCTATGCTAAAGCTCAGCGAAGCTAAGATGAATGTAAGCTAAACTAAGATCAACCTGAGCTAAGATTAAGCTAAGCTAAGCTGAGATGAAATAAGCTAAGCTAAGATGAGATAGGCAACGCTAAACTAAGGGAGCGTAGCTGGGGGAACCGCGGGGCGGATGCCGGGGGAACCGCCCGGGGCGATTTCCACTGCCCGGCCCCTTTAAGCCCATAGAGTAAGAACCCTTCTGGGCAGAGCCTAGGTAGGGAACAAAAGGAGAGAAACAAGTCTGGCCTGGCCCAGCAGGCCTCGCCAGGCCAGCCGCGCCCGACCCTGAGATCCGACGCTGCGAACACACACGCGCACGTGCAGCATCGCGAACGATCGCGACGGGGGCTTTTCGTGCCAGATCGACAAGTGAGAAAGAGCGTGTTCTACCGCTGCTGGCGGAAAACCGGGGGGGGTCACTACCGGTTCGAACCCCTCCCTCCCCCCCCCCCCTCCGGAAAACCGGGGGGGGTCACTACCGGTTCGAACCCCTCCCCCCCCCCCCCAGCTCATCATGAAAAGGGGGGGGGTCACTACCGGTTCGAACCCGCCCCCCCCCCCTCGAAAACCGAGTGGGGGTGCGGACAGTGGTGGGGACGGTGTTGGTGGGGACAGTGGTGAGGGGACAGCGGGACAGTGGTGGGGACAGTGGGGGGACAGTGGGACAGTGGTGGGGACGGTAGTGGTGGGGACAGTGGTGGGGACAATGGTGGGAACAGGGGGGACAGTGGACAGTGGTGGGTGGGAACGGTGGTGGTGGGGACAGTGGTGTGGGGACAGTGGGAATGAGGTGGAAACACTGGGACAGTGGAGGGTACAATGTTGGTGGAGACACTGGTAAAGGCGGTGGCGAGGACGGCGGTGGGACAATGGGACAGAGGTACAGTGGGGACAGTGGTGGGGACAGTGGGGACAGTGGTGGAAACAGTGGGACAGCTCAGTGGGACAGCGGAGGAGTCAGTGGGACAGTGGGGACAGTGGGGATAGGCAGTGGTTGGGTCCGTGGAGACAGTGGGGAGAGTGGAACCGTGGTGGGAACAGTTGTGGGAACAGTGGGGACAGTGCGACAGTGGTGGGGGCACTGGTGGGGACACTAGGGACGGTGGTGGAACCAGCCGGGGCAGTGGTGGTGAGGACAGTGGTGCTGGGAACAACAGTGGGGGATGTCATGCGAGCGGTGGTAGGGACCGGGAGTCGTTTGCTGGCGGTGCGTGGGGGGGGGGTCGAACCGGTAGTGACCCCCCTCCGGTTTTCGAGGGGGGGGGGGGGTGGGGGTTTCCAACCGTAGTGACCCCCCCCCCGGTTTTTCGGATCCGGGGGGGGGTTGGGGGGGGGGAGGGGTTCGAACCGGTAGTGACCCCCCCCGGTTTTCGAGTTCGAGGGGGGGGGGGAGGGGTTAGGGGAGGGGGGGGTTTTGCTTGGGGAAGGGGGGGGAGGGGTTCCAGCAGGGTGGGGGGATTTTCGGAGGTGCGGGGGGGGACCCCCGGGTTCCGGAGGAAAAGGTTGGCAATTTTCCACAGTAAAGCGGCGGTGGATCACGCTCTCTCACAAGTGATGGTCCCGGGGCGCGAAGCCGGTCGAAAACACCTAGTGTTAGGTCGGGCATGTACTCCTACAGGCAGGTCTAAAAGGAAACAAACATAGTCAAACCATCGCCAAACAATTGTGAGTAACGCGTTGTGGGTGCCGCTTCTGGTGTGTCACGCAACGCGTGATGGGGCGTGCCGTGCTGGGTGGGGGGGGCGCATGCGGGCGGTCCCACTGGGGCCTTCGGTGGAGCTCCATGGGGGCCACGAAGCGCTGTACTGGGTTGTGGAGACGCATGCGGGCGGTGCCACTGGGGCTTTCGGGTGAGCCCACATATGGGGCCACGAAGCGCTGTGCTGGGTGGGGGGGCGGTCCCACTGGAACCTTCGCTGGAGCTCCCTACGGGGGCACGAAGCGCTGTACTGGGTGGGGGGGACGTAGCGGTGCCACTGGGGCCTTCGGTGGAGCTCCCTATGGAGCCGCGAAGCGCTGTACTGGGTGGGGGGGGTCGCATGCGGCCCGTAGAATTGGGACCTTTGGTGGAGCTCCCTACGGGGTCACGAAACGTTGTACTGGGTGTGGCGGACGCGTGCGGGCGGTCCACCTGGGGCCTTCGGTGGGGCTCCACATGGGGCCACGAAGCGCTGTGCGGGTTGTGGCGGGCGCATGCGGGCGGTCCCCTTGGGACCTTCGGTGGAGCTCCATATGGGGCCACGAAACGCTGTGCTGGGTGGAGGGACCGCATGCGGGCGCCCCTACTGGAGCCTCCGGTGGAGCCCCCCATGGGGCCACGAAGAGCTGCACTGGATGGGGGGGCCGCAGGCGGACGCCCCCGCTAGGGCCTTCGGTGGGGCTCCCTATGGGGCCACGAAGCGTCGCACTGGGTGGAGGGACCGCATGCGTGCACCCCCATCTCGGGCCTTTTTTTAATCGTCGGGGCGGCTCGCGCAGCACGGGCCGATCGCAAACTGGAGACTGACAGCCCTGCCGCCAAGTCAGGTCAGAGAAATCGTCGGCCGATTTGATAGACTTGAACGCTGGGGTGAGGGCCTGCTCAGGAGGATGCAGCAGAGGGTCGGGCGAGCCGCGCTTCGAAGACCACCATGCGAGCAATCCACCAGGGCGCCGCCTTGCGCCCACGGTAGCAGAGCTCGAGAAGTATAATATCCGAGAAGCGTTCACCGCTCTGCAAGCTGTGAACGGTCGCCAACGACGAGGAAGACGACGAGCAGTGCATCGCAGAGGGTCTGGCCGTTCTGCCCGCACTGCTGTCAGTGGCGCCTGCGCCTGGTGAGCCTGGGCCGCCAGCGCTTCCGTAGCCACCATGGCGCGGCCGCCCCATCCACGCGGCGACTGACGAGCGGCGGCAGCGCAGCAGCAGGGATGCCCGAGAACACCGTGGCGCCGCAGGTGCACCTCGGGAAGGGAGGGTCCACCTCGGGAGTCGCCGAGCACGCTGCCAGCAAGTAGTTGGCCTCCTCGAAACACGGAATCAGCTCCTGGACGACGGGCGAAAACTCTGGAGCGTCGGCCCGCGGCGCCGAAGGCGCGGCGGCGGGCGCGGAGCCGCCCAGAGCACAGCCTGCATGAGAAGAGCCACTCTCCGAAGCGTCGACGGAAGCCAGCTCCTCGTCCTTGGTGAGGCCCTGGTCGGAGGAGGCGCTGTCGTCATCGCCCTCGAACGCGCAGCTGACGAGAGCAGCGGTCCCGCCGCGCGCCTGAGGCGTGTCCGAAGGCAAAGCGCGGTCAGCCCTGCCGCCGCCCCGAACGTCCTCGACGCCGTGGGGGCCGCTATGCCTCGCCTGCGCCACTGGTACCGGAAGGCGATCATCACGCAGTGCTTCCCAGCGCCCAGCACTAGGCAGAAACTCAGGAACTCCAGCAGCAAGGAGGCCCCCAGCGCCGAGGCGCGGTCCGCGCGCGGCGGCCCGCCACAACGCCATCCCTGCCCCGCCCTCGTGGAGGTCCCGCGCGTGCTGGGAGCAGTTCCTGATGGGCACGTCGCCATGATCCTTTCGCGATCCAAGGATCCTCGAGACCAGCGCCCCTCGCGACAGCCTCTCGCGCCCGTCGACCTCCTCCGCCAGGGCCACGAGCGCGGTGCCGCTACAGGGCGGGTCTCCACGGCCGCGCAGGGCACTCCAGAGCCCGCGCTCGCAGGCATCGCGGGCGCGGCGCCGAGGGGCCGCGATGCGCTGCGCTGGGTGGGGGGACCGCATGCGGGCACCCCCGCAAGGGCCTTCGGTGGAGCTTCCCATGGGGTGACGAAGCGCTGCGCTGGGTGGGGGGGCCGCGAGCGGGCACCCCCACTAGGACCTTCGGTGGGGCTGGGCTCTCTATGGAGCCACGAGGCGCTGCGCTGGGTGGTGGTGGTGGTGGTGGTGGTGGTGGTGGTAGTGGTGGTGGTGGTGTGTGTGTGTGGGGGGGGGGGGGCGCATGCGGCCGCCCCAGCTAGGGCGTTCGGTGTGGTCTCCTATGGGGCCACGAATCGCCGCATTGGGTGGGGGGGCCGCGCGCGGGCGCCCCCGCAAAGGTTTTCGGTGGAGCTCCCTATGGGGCCACGAAGCGATGCGCTGGGTGGGGGGCCGCATGCGGGCGCCCCCACTAGGGCCTTCGGTGGAGTTCCCTATGGGGCCACGAACCGTGTGAAGGGTGTGTCAAAGTGAGGGGGGTGACGGGGGGAGGGAGGAGGAGGAGTCGTCGTCGTCGTCGATCTGCATCCGTGTCCCTGTCCAGCTAACTAAAGCCGGCTGCCCATGAACACCGCATGGCCTGGGCTGTCCAGGGGGCCTTTGAAACCGATGGGGACGCATGGCCAGGTGCCGCTGCCAGTGCGCGCACAGCGCTGGCAGTGACGCCGTGGCGCGGGGGTCACTCAAAACTTGTTGCGTGATTCTCCCCGCGGCCTAATGCGCCTGTGCAAGGCCTCAAGTATTTCCCATGGTTTCGTGCTCAAGGAGCTGCCGAAGGACAAGGGGGGGACAGAGGGCGAGCGAGGGGGGGGCGAGGAGGGGATTGCAACCTGGTCTAGGCTACTTGCTGCTCTGCTGGAAGCCTTTTCTACTACTGCTTGTCACCTGTTGCTGCTGCGTCTGCTGCTGCTCACTGTCTGTGATCCTACTCTGCCTGCTGCCGCTCACTCTGCTCACTTCTGCTTCAACGAGTGCGCCAACCCCAGGGTCGGCGCCTTGCCTGGCAACTTCTGGAGCCCCGCGGCCTGAGGCAGAGCGCGATGAGGCGATTTGTGGCGACTAGCGTGAAGCCGTGCTTGGTATTCAGTTCGAGGGGATGATACTTGTGCCGCGCGAACTCTGGCTCCTACTCCATGGAGGTTGCCGCTGGCCAGTGTCCCTCGAAGTGGCGCAAGAGGCGAGCTGTGGGGGCGGTGCCTGCCCTGGACATGAGTTCGCTGGCCCTGCGCGTGATGCGCCAGTCTTCAAAATCTGCTTGGCTGAGGTCCTGCCTGGAGGCGTCCAGGCGCTTGGTAGCGGCGAATAGGCATTGTATCTGGTCGTTCTTGCCGTCCACCGACGTGTTGGCTAGACCGTTCATCGGCGCTGCTGCGGCGTGCAGGTGTGGAGATCCGTGCTCGTGCCCTGCGCCCGCGGCCCTGACCAGTCCCTCGTACTTGGTTGTGGTCTCCTTCATGGCCAAAACACAGGGTGGCCCGATGGGCCTTTGAAGTGAAGATCCGATGCCTCACTCTCTCTCTCTCTCTCTCTCTCTCTCTCTCTCTCCCTCATGCGAGCTTCTAAGTAGAAGGCGCTCTCCCTGACTGCCTCCTGCCGGGCCCGATCCCTTGGCCTTCTTGGTGCTCGGGGCCTTGTCCGCCTCGATCTGTTGTGCTGATGCCAGCCGCTGCGACATCAATCGTAATTGCGTGATTCCCGACGTTTGCAGAATATGAATGTTCGCCAGATGGTCGTCCAGCAGTTCTGGTGTCTGAGCAATGATACGGCATAGCGGGCATGCAGCAACTTTGTGCTCTATTCTGCGTGGGGCACGAACTGAACTATCTGTAGTATACCTGCGATGAAACGTGGATGCTGCTAAGTGCCACTGTGCTGTGGCTCTGTCTGCAGACGTGCTGTGACATAAATTGCAATACTTGGAGAGGGTCGCAGCAAACGGAATCCTGTTCGCGGCGCGCGCGCCCTGCAGGATGGCGTCTGTGTCATCTCTGTCTCTCGCGCGCGCTCGCGCGCAATGTGAAGACATGCTTTTTTGCTATCTGGAAGCGTTTCTACACGCACAAGGCACGCGATGCGGAGTTGAGGTCGGGGTCCAACTAAAGGCGGGTGGACGCCCCCCCCCCCCCCGCCCCCCACCCCCCGACCGAACCGGCGCCAGGGCCCCGCGAGGGCGCGACCGACCTCGACAACTCCCGCGACCCCAGCTCAGCAACATCGACTTTTATACAAATCGCGCGGGCTTCTCTCGAACGAAAGTCTGAACCAGGATCCTTCCAAACAGTTCTACAACCCAGACCCCCCGGGAGATCCTGAAGCGAATCAGCATCTTGCCAAAGCTGTGTGGCCCATGCGCTGACTGTCGGGATCAAGAAACCCTGCTCGTCCACCTCGAGATTTGATTCCCCACGCCGACAGCGCCCTATTAAAGATGCAGTGGCCTGCTCATGTTCACGCGGGTGTCTCGTCATCTTCTGCAGCCGTTTTAGCCCCCTGATGCGCAGCTCTGCGAACAGGGTGCACATCCTGAGGTGCTTCTGCGCCTCCTGGTTCGAGGGTGTACGGATTCTGTCCTGTTGGCGCTCAGTGTATCTGCCTCTGAGAACGAATCGAGCGAACTTGTGTGCAACTTGCTGGATGGGGAGCAAGGGCCTGCACCGTGAGGGTCTGCGCGTGTTCAGCACGAGGGCCTCTAATCCCGAGAGCGCCGCGTTCAAGATGAGCCCCGTGAAGGCGATGCTCTTGAACCTCATGGAGATCTAGGGGGCGGACCAGAACTTGCCCATCTTGTGCCTGGCCGTCTGGAGGGCCTGTACCTTGAACTTCTTCACAGCTGAGAACCCGCTGTTGAAGTGTTGACGGCCTCGAAGACACCTAGCCTCCGAGAGAGCCAAGCCTTGTCGGGGGATCTTGTTCTCGTGGAGCTTCGTGTTGAGGACTCCCGCAGATCCCCGGCCTCCTGGGCCACGTTCATTTGTTTTTTACCTAACAGCTCTTGCTGATAGGTTTCTAGTGGTCTCAAAAGAAAGCATCTTGACTCCTCAGGGGGGTCTGGGCGGGACCCGGACAGGCTGCCGCCGAGGCTGCCGCCGAAACCGAAATCGCTTGGGACATCCTCGCAAAATCGCTCTTGGTGCTCCCAGAACTCCATTCCCGGTCGTGCTCTTCGACTTCCCAGAACTCCATTCCCGGGCCACTTTTTGGATGCGCGGAGCCAACTGTAGGCCACTTCGTGCTCTTCGATTTCCCGGAACTCCATTCCCGGGCCACATTTCAGAGCCAACTGTAAGCCACTTCGTGCTCTTCAAGTTCCCAGAACTCCATTCCTGGGCATGATTTTGCATGCCCGGAGCCAACTGTAAGCCACTTCGTGTTCTTCTAGTTCCCAGAACTCCATTCCTGGGCCACATTTTGAATGCTGAGGCAGGCTGATGCTGCGGCCGAGGCAGGCTGAGGCTGAGGCAGGCTGAGGCTGAGGCCGAGGCTGAAGGCAGACTGAGGCTGAGGCTGAAGCAGACTGAGGCTGAGGCTGAGGCAGGCTGAGGCTGAGGCTGAGCAGGCTGATGCTGAGGCAGGCTGAGGCTGAGGCTGAGGCTGATGCAGGCTGAGGCTGAGGCAGGCTGAGGCTGAGGCCGAGGCTGAAGGCAGACTGAGGCTGAGGCTGAAGCAGGCTGAGGCTGAGGCTGAGGCAGGCTGAGGCTGCAGGCTGAGGCTGAGGCAGGCTGAGGCTGAGGCTGTGACTGCGACTGCCGTTGCCGCTGCGACTGTCATCGCGAATGCGACTACGACTGCGAGAACAGCAGAATTCGACAACTGGATTTTCATCTGAATCTTAAGGGGAATGCTTCCAGATATGCTTCTACACATCGCTGTTCGGTTGCTTTGCCGGGATAATCGATGTTTTGGGGCCCTCCTATGTCTCTCCGGATTTGGTCGACAACGTTGTTTTCCCACAGCGCAACTGCAGACAGGTGCTCGGGGTTGTCCCCGGCCGTCTCGCGTGCGACGTCGTCCACGAACGCGGAAGTGACGAGGTCGATCGCGCCGTTGTCGTGCTCTGCCCTCAGTGGTGCAGGTCGGGCTGTGTGCTGCGCTCTCTGCCAGGGATCCTCGTTCATGGTGTTGATCATCTGTTGCGTTCCCGCCCCATGCGCTGACGCGAAGAGCTTTGTGGCAACGTGGCCCCCGGGCAATGCTCCACTCTGATCCGCCCTATGTCCACTGTGTGCGCCATCTCCAATCGTGAAAGTGCTGTTCTGAATGCGCTGTTAGAACATGTCCGCTCGATTCTCGATGGCTAGCTCATCAGCAGCGTCTTCAGCAACCGATTTGTGTACGCTATAAAAGGCATTGCTGGCGTCGTGAGATCTGGTGATGTGGTGCAATCCTGCTCTGCGTAGCCTGGCTGATCCACGCAACTGCACCATTATGGCATCTTCCCTGCGTCTGCAAAGAATTTCACCATGTGCCCAGTATGGAAATCTGGCTCTCGGGTTCATCAGTGATCTGAAGAAGGATCTGCCCAACCCACAGAACACCATGATGTGCCTTTCCCCGTCCGTGTTCACCTTGTCGTTGTGTTTGGGTAGCCTGGTACATGGAGCTTGGTGCCATACTGCTGGCGCTCGCCCCTCCTGTCTCATGGTGCGACATGGGAGATACGTGCATCTCTCGAAACACGGCGCCTGAAGTTTCTCCATCCTATGCTGGTCATCTTCTAGCTCATCTGCTGCCTGTGCTGTTTTTGGTTCTGATTGTCGTGCAGTATCCTCGCATATATCCTTCTGAAGTGCATGGGCGCTGCTTCTGATAAGCCCCGCCACTACTCCTGCTCCTCCACCCTGGTGGATGTTGTGCTCTATCTGGACCATCCCTCTGTTGTCCCTGATGCCGCTGATGTCCTTGGTGCGTCGCCCCAACCGCAGCGGTTGCGTTAACCGTGACATCTGTGGGTGCGTCCCTTGGGGAAGGGTCGTCATCATAGGCAGCATCCGCCAGCCTGCCCACAGATGCCGGGGTATTAACTTGTGCTTCTGGTGAGGTCACTGTGTTGGGCTCGGCCCTTCCCTCCAGTGATTCCCCTCCCCTGAGTTCCACTGGCGTTGGGTCTCTACCTTCGCAGGGTCGGGCCAGGTCCTCGCTGTCGTCGTGGTTCTCGATGTTCTGGGTGTTGCCTGCATTGCCGATGCCTCTCCCTCGCGGTGTCCTGTAGTACCAACTTGGCTCTGCCAGGGCTCGAATGAGATCTCCTGCCGCGCTCCAGGGTGGTTGTGCTCTCCACGACGGTAGCTTGTTGATTAGCTTTCGTAGTACTTCCATGCCCCTCAACGCATTCATGTGTGCCTCTTGATAGTCTATCTGCGTGTCACCATCATCAGGTCTAATCCATTCCAAATACGATTGTACATGGTGTGCTCTGTGTTGTTCTTGTCCATCTTGAAAGGGGTTGCGCCAGAAACCAGTGGCCAGCTGTGGGGCTTGACATCTATGCAATACTCGCGCTGCTGCTCCTCCTGCGGGGCCTTGCTTCTGAAACTTGCTTATCCACTCCAGTGCTGGCGCTCTCGATGTTGGTACTCTGCCGTAATGTCTGCCTCTGGGTCCACGACAGGTGCCAGCAATCAGTATCGAAAGTTTGCGTGCGTCATACAACTTTCTCTGATGCCATGCCTCCCACAACGCCTCGACTCTTTCCTCCATGCGAGCATCCTGCATTTCTTTTTTTCGTGACTTCAATCTCCTGCTGCTTCTGGCGATCTGAAAGTTGAGGTCCTCAGTGTTGGTCTCTATCTTTTTAACTTCTTTCCTATCCTTTAGTAGCTTCGCTATTTTCCTGCTGGTATTGCAGCTTTCGGTCTGGTTATCGCAAGCGTATGGTGTCTTGGTCAACGGCTACTCTCGGGAGTCACTGCATGAATCCAGCACTGATCATGTCAACATTGCCCTCATACTCCGGTTGCTCAAATACATTCATGTGTTGACTCAACGATTCCTCGACCTTGCTGATGAACTCGGGTTTTTTATGTCCGTACAATAACATAGCGTTGCAGGCCTCCATGTTGACTCTTTCCTGTGTCGCCACCGCATGGATATGCTCGAACGACTTGATAAACAACGACCGGTAAAACGTAGATGACCCTTTGGCGCCACGCATCTAATGCGTTGCAATCTTTTCCCTTTCCTCCACGACATCATGCACTGCTGTATGTTCTCAATCATAGAAATCGGCATGGTGATATAATCCACTCCTTTTCTCACGCTATGATAAATCCCAAAGTATGCCATGTCAACTGGAAAACGTGTTGCACAGTGCCATCTCATACGCTTCCAAAACGGGTCTGGTGATACCAGAATTCACTCCATCTTAGCTGGCCTCGGAATTGCCAATGATCTTCGGTTCAATAGTGTCAACTGCACACGTGCTGTTGAGATCTGTCCCTATGATGGGCGTGCATCTGGACGGCAACTTGCCCAAGTGTTCGCTTATCCATGCCGCTAGATCCGAATATACTGCTCTCTGACATGCTGCTGATCCTTTTCCCTTCCCTCTCGTCGGAATATATATATATATATATATATATATACATAGGGGAAGCAGCAGAATCCTCTCGGCCTCGACGATATCTAATCATGAGTCCCCGTCCTTGCAATCTCCCGCAGGTCTGTAGCACCCTGGTGACGTACATTGGCTTATATCTCTGAGCATGGATGCCGATGGATACACTACAGGCAGCGTCGGAGCTCTAGCCATACCCTGAGTGAGCAAAAAATGCCCGCCTGCTGGAGAGCGAAAGACATATCCTTCTCTAGTCGCCTTAAGTCCTGTGCCCTGCAGCATGATAGTATCGTGCTTCGCATATTCTGCACTGGTGTCTGCTAATCTTCCTGGCGGCGCGGCGGTCAGCGGGTTGTAGGAAATGAGACGCCAGAGTCTCCAACCGCCGCCGCTGCCAGCTCCTCGCCCATGCATCATTTCATCTGAATTCGAGAGAGAGAGAGAGAGAGAGAGAGAGCGAGAGTAAGTGGGCAGGAAATGGTTGCAGTGTGGGGGTTTTACTCGCGCTGATCTGCTGCTTGCGCCGTGGTGCGACTAGGAGGGAGGAGGGGGAGGGGGAGGAGGAGAGGAGAGGAGGAAAACGCGGGGCGCCGTCTTTTCAAACCGAAGACCCAACACCACAGGAGGGCTGGGAAATAATAGAAAAAAATCGGGAAATCGTGCCCAGACTATCTTTGTACCATTCTGGAAGATTCCTCCTGTAGAGGGACACGCCCGACTTCAGCCTGGTGTGAAACATGGGACCGCCCGGATCTCAAGGAGTAGCCGGGGCGTCGACGTGCACCGCCTGCTCGGACCACAGGGGCGCTGGACCTTTCGACCCTTGCCCTGGGACCGTTGTTTCGCCCCGAGTCGTTTTCGGGCAGCCCCAGGGTCTGAGGTCTGAAGCGGGCCTCCGGCGGCCCAAGGCGCAGGGAAGCTGCAGGCGTGATATTTGGGAGTCTCTGGAGGTCTGGGCGCGGAGGGCGGACGACGGCGACGACGGCGGCGAAGTCCTCGGAGAGGTCCAGCATGTGGGAGGAGAAGAGCGGCTCGCCGTGCGCCTTTCCCCGAACGAGGGGGGGGGGTGCCGAAGCAGGCGCGCGAGCGCGGCGCCGCCCGCCGAGGAGGAGATGACAACTCCTTCGATCCTCGCATGCAGGGCCCTTTTTGGAACGCCCACCCCCCTATAGGTATATGTATATGTATATGTATATGCATATGTATATGTATATGTATATGTATATGTATATGTATATGTATATGTATATGTATATGTATATGTATATGTGTATGTATGTACGTATGCATGCATGCATGCATGCATGCATGTATATATATATATATTGTACGACGAATGATATATATATATATATATATATATATATATATATATATATTCATTGTACGTCGAAGGAGGGACAACGCAGCATGAACACAAGCTCAACCCTCATCAGGACACGCCTCAGCTGAGCCTCCGTGCTTCGGCCGACCGGGGGCGGGAAGGGGCCGAGGCAAGCGCGCGCGCGTGGCACCGCCCGCGAGGCGAACCGGCTTCAGGAAATGCCGAGGATCTTCCAAATTTTCCATGGTCGGGGAGACGTAAGACTCGGGTTCGCGGGGCTCGGGTTGGCCTTACGGCGCCCGGCAGACAAATGCCGAACCCCAATCTGACATTTTACGCGAGCTCCCGCTGCAAGTATCACACGAGAGATGGATCGTCAAAAGATCAAGGGCCAGCGAAGAAGCGTCGGCAACCCCGAGTTCTGGCGAATCTGAGTCTTACGTTCCCCCGACAATGGTTTCGAGGTTTTCGATGGCTTTCGATGTGTGCAGCAGAAGCATACGAGAAGGAACTCTGCTACAGGAGATCTCGGGGCACATTGTTCGGTCGATCTTGGCCTTCGCGGGGCGCCCATGAGCTCCAAGGGGCGCCCAGGGCCGTCGGGGGAGAGGCCATCTCCATGGCGCACCTGCTGGCAGGCCGGTTTCTTTTTTGGCACGCCCACGGCTGCGGATCTCGAAGCTTTCGACGGTCTTCGATGGTCGCGTGCCGCTGCCGCGAGGTTTTCGGTGTTCTAAATGGATCGGAGGACTTCGGGCATCGAGGTTCTCGAATCCCTCTTCGCGGGCAGTAGCCCAACAGCGTCAACGGGGGCGGCCCCCGCGGAGGTCGGCGACCTCTGAGGGTCGAGGCTTGCGCTTTTCGGCGCAGCAGCCCCCGCGGGCGCACTCCACATCGAGAGCGAGTCGCCGCAGTGCGCCAGCCAGTCAGTGGAGCCGGATGAGAGCGAGCGAACGAACGACCGCCAGTGCGGACAAGTGTCGGGGCCCACGTGGGGCCAGGTGGGCGAGGCCGTGGCCTCTAGACCCTGCGGTGCCTGTTCTAGACATGCGTGCGCGACACGAAACAGGTTTTTGAGGCACAAGATGAGGGAGAGGGGGGAGCATCCTTGCTGTCGATGTCGTCGTGTGGGGGGGGAGGTGTGTGGTGCCAGGGGTGAGGGCGGGGGAGGCGGAGGAGGGGAGGGGCGGAGAAGAAACAATAAATGCACAAACGTGAACTTTCGTAGGTCCGCGCGGACTTCTTGGATCTGCGCTGGGCCCCCATTCCCTGGTGCGCGGGGGGCGCCAGAGGCGGCGCCGGAGGCATAACGCCGTGGGGGGACCAACGCAGAACCAAGAGATCCGCGCGGCCCTGCAGAAGTCTATGTTTACGCATTTTTCCTTATTCTGCCAGCAGGGGGGGCGGAGAAGAGGCAGGGTGGAGAAGAACTCCCAAACTGCACAAACATAACCTTTCGGAGGTCCGCGCGGATCTCTTGGATCTGCGCAGGACCCTCAGGGGCCGCGCCAGAAGCGCCGCCATGGGAGGACCATGATCAGCGCAGAATCAGAGGATCCGCGCCGCCCTGCGAAAGTCTATGCTTTATGCAGTCTTCTCTTCTTCTGCCAGCGGGTGCCACGCGGAGGAGAGGAAGAACGCACTTTTTTGATTCGCGGGTCGAGAGCGCACCTCTTCCGGTCGAGACTAAGCGGGCCGCGCGAAGCCTGAATTAACAATGAGGGGGGGACAGAAGGAGAGGCCTCACGTCAAGGCCAGGAGGAGGCAAAGCCTCGGAATCAGGCGGTGCCGAGAGGAAGGACGCACAAGAATAGCAAACAGCTGCGCAGGCGCAAATTTTCGGAGGCCCCCGCGAATCTCTTGGATCGGCGCTGGGTCCGCCTTTCCTGGTGGAGCGAAGCGCCGCGGCGGTCTGCGCCAGGGCCCTCCCCCCCCCGCGCGGATCCAAGACACCTGCCCTGAGCTCCGGCAGTTTACGATCGGGAGCTCTCGCACAGCGCGTCGCGGCGGCGGCCCTGGTCACACGCTACAGGGCAGTTTTTAATACATGGGATTTTTAGAAATATAGGATTTTTAATACATGGCTAATTTAGGAACAAATTTATGCATGAAGTCATCGTTGTTTTTAGTACTAAATCCCTGCACTTTCCATACATGATCCGCACGCGGAGCATGTATCAAAAACGGCACTGTACGATCGGGAGCTTCCGCACAGCGTGCCGCGGCGGCGGCCCTGGTCACACGCTATGCCTTGCAGGCTGATGGCGCGCAGCTCGAGGCCTGAGGGCCGGAATCCGAGGCTCCCCGGGAGCCGACGTTGCGAGCAAGTTGCCGCAGCGCGAAAAATCACGACCGAGGCCGTGCGAAGACGCTCGGCTCGGAAGACACGAGACACCCGGATCTCAGGGTCCGAAGGCTGAGGTCATGACCCAGCTGGCGGGTTCCAAACACCCTGAGCCCCAAAAATGTTGCCATGCCTTTGGGGTGCACTGTTTGCTCCCGCTGGCCTCCCGCGAGGAAGAGATGCCAACTCCTTCGACCCTCGAAGGCGAGGACCTTCCTGAAACGCGCCAGCAAGCGAGCACCAGCATGCAGGGGCGGTCCATGCCCCTTCCCCCGTCCGATCGCTGCACTTACCCAGGGGGATGGGGGGTGGAGTAGTTTGGCCCGGATGACGACCGTCACGCGACAGAGGATCAAAGCATGGCTCGAGCGAAACAGTGCTTCTCGTTTTCTTGTTGTTTTCGTCCTCCTCCGCTCTGTCTTCGCTCTGCCTCTGCTGCGAAGCGAGACCAAAACGAAGACTGCCCACGCAGACGCCGAAAAGGCCGAGAGGCTGGAGCCCTGGATCAAGAGCAGGCTCTCAGGGTCCGAAGGCCGAGGCCGTGGCCTGGACAGACAGTGCCCACACATCCATGGCGGGGAGGCGACGCAGCATGATGACAACCACGGCTGCGACGTGCCCTTGCTTCGCACCCCTCCCCCCCCCAAGCCCACAGTTAAAGCGTCCCTATGTTGTCCTTGGCCCGTGGCCTGCCGCCCGAACGCGTCCGCTTTGAATTTCGGGGGAGGGGGGTATGCGTGCTGGTCTGACGTGCTTTGATAACTCAAGGTCTTGGCGAGACAGGTGTGGACACTTCTAGTCCACCCACCGTCGTTTTGGACACCCGAAATGGGTACCGAAAGAATGGGTACAATGCCCAACAACAAATGTTGTCCCAAACCAACAGCGGCCGCTGTTGGGCAGGCGGCCTTCTGTCTCGAATGGACACAGGCCGCGGCGGCGTGGACAGCGAGTCCTGTTCAGAATGAACAGGAACTGCTGTTGGGCTCTGAATTTCGGGGAAGGGGGGTATGCGTGCTGGTCTGACGTGCTTTGATAACTCAAGGTCTTGGCGAGACACGTGTGGACACTTCTAGTCCACCCACCCGTCGTGCCCCAGCTCTGCGCGAGTGGCGGCCGCGCCCGCTCTCCGAGGGAACGGCGGCCTGCCCAGCGACGGGGGCGAGATGCGGGCGCACCGCGGGCGAGCCATTCGCCCCCGCCGCCAGATGTCGTCGACGTCGTCGTCGTCGTCGTCGTCGCCTTGTCGTCGTCGTCGTCGTCGTCGTCGTCGTCGTCGTCGTCGCCTTGTCGTCGCCTCGTCGTCGCCTTGTCGTCGTCGTCGTCGTCGTCGTCGTCGTCGTCGTCGTCGTCGTCGCCTTGTCGCCGCCTTGTCGTCGTCGTCGTCGTCCGAGGGGCGAGGCATTCTCAACCAGTAAGAGCCTGGCGATCGTTTAGTTCAAGTGCCCAGAGGTTCCCCGTTGCCGCCAAGGCTGCCTCGGTACGCCTGGCTTCCTCCTCTGCAGGCCTCTACCACCGTGAATCGAAATTCTCGGGCGCGCCTGGGGCGCCTGGGGCGGCCTGGCGGCCACGTCTGTGGCCGAGTCCGCTTTTTTTTCTGCTGTGCTCTTGGTCGCTAGAGCATGTGACACGTGTGCGTAGCTCCGCTGTCATTACCACCCTGTGTCTTTTCCGTGTTATGGCTGGGAACGCACGCCGCTCGAGGCGGCGGAGAGCTTGAGAGATCCATCCAAGAAACAGGTTCTGGCCAGAAGGCTCTCCATGAGAGGTCCAGGGGTCGTCGTCGTGCTCGCAGCGGCATTCGACAACGTGGTCCGCACTTTAGGTTGCCCCGCGCGGGGTCGCCACCGTCGCCTCGGCTGGGTGCGCCTCGCAGCGCTGGTCAGGAGGCGCTCCAGGACAGGTCCGCGGTTCGGTTCTGAAGGGGGCGTCGTCGTTGCCGCCGCCGCCGTCGCTGTCGTCGTTCTCCTCATCCCCGTCGCCATTGTCCTCCTCCTTTTCCTTTCTCCTCCCCTCCTCCTTCCCGCCCTCCTCCTCGTCCTCGTCCTAGCCCCATCCTCCTCCTCGCCCTCCTGCCTCCCCCGTGCCCGCGTCCATGTCCTTCTCCTATTCCCTCACCACCCTGTATCTCATCCTCGCCCTCGTTGCACTCCCGGCGCCACACCGTCTGCAGTCTGATTCGGCGCTGTCTCCCCTCATGGGCGCCCGCACCGGAGCGCCCTCCCGCCGCCCGCTCTCGCTCCCCTCCCCCCGCTCCTTGAAGAACGACTCGTCGGCCTCGAGCATGCCGTCGAACCAGGGCAGCAGCTTCTCGCGGGGAGGGGCGGGGGGGGGGGATGGGGGCAGAAGCATCGGTCTCGTGCCCGCTGGCCAGCGGGGCGCTTCCTGTTCACGGCCAAGGGCTGGTGCCCAGCGTGCCGCGGCGGCGGCTCCGGTGCCACGCTGTGCCTGGCGAGCCGAAAGCGATACGTTCTGCTCCACGGGGCGGGGGGCCCGGGCAACGCTCGGGCCGGTGATGCCTGGGAGCCGGAACGTCGTGGCTAGCTTGCGGCGCCGAAGCGTGGCTGGTGGGCCAGGGCTGGCTGCGCGACAAGGTACCAGTGGAGGCCAGTCCGCAAGAAACCCTTCCACAAGAAGCCCAACCCTGAGACCCCAGGACGTCCTTTGATTTTTGGCGTGGGAGCGTCACGCTTTCCGTCGCAAAGCCACAGAAGCCCGAGAAACCCAGGGCACCCTGGAGGCAAGCAGGGTGTTTCTTGGCATGGGCCTCCACTGTAAGCAACAAATCTTGACGGCATCCTTGCCCACACGAGCGGCGCGGCGTAGATCTCGATTCCAGAGCTCGAGCGCCGCGGCCGCTCTGCCCGGGGCTCAAGTGTTCCCCTGCCGGCGGTGTCTGGCTGGTGCCTGCCCCGCAGCCGCGCCTCTCGGCTTCGGCGCTATGGCCAAGGCCCGCCACGGCGAGCCGAGTGGTGGCACCAACTGCTGCTGCGTCGGAGATGCTGTCGGACACGGGCCCAAACGCATCCCCTCCGCGGCCCCAGCTTGCCGCGCGGCAGCCTGCACGTCCGGGACGATGCCCGTCATGTGCCTGCGGGAACCTGTCACAGCGGACGGATGCCCTCCGTGGCCCTGCCTGCGCCTTGCTGCGCAAGGCGCCAGACGAACACATCAAGGACTGACCCAAGGAACATGGAGCCGCTTCTGAAGCAATTTTTGTTATACATATATATATATATATATATATATGTATAAAGATTCTGAAGCCCAAGTGTCCCCTACTCCGAGCTATTGGCGGCAACTCGTTGTAAAGGACAATCTGCCCAACCCTTGGGCACCTCCAGGCCTCACCCGAAACGGAGAGGTCCGCTGCCGATCCTTCTTCTCCTTGTCGTCCTCGTCTTCGGTTTCCCCGTCGCCCTTGTCCTCCTCCTCCTCCTCCTCCTCCTCCTCCTCCTCCTCCTCCTCCCCCTCCTCCCCTCCCTTCTCGTACTCGTCCTCCTCCTCCTCGTCCTCGTCCTCCTCCTTGTCCTCCTCCCCTTCCTTCTCGTACTCGTCCTCCTCATCGTCATCCTCATTCTCATTAGCCCTGCTCGTCGTCGGCGTCCTCCTCCTCCGCCTCTTCCTCCTCCCGTGCGCGCTCCGCCGCGCGCCCAGCAAGGTTCAATGGGGCCCACGGACACACACACACATAGACACAGACACAAACACAGAAATCCCAGAATGCCTTATTTTTCCTGACATTTTCTGGGTTTTCGTCTTCCCCACCACTTCCCATATTTTCCAATATTTTCCTGGGAGTCGACGATTCATTGTGTCTGTGTGTTGTTTTTTCCCCTCCTGAGAGGTGGGGTAGGTGGGAGGGAAGGAGGAGGATACCTTTGTCTTTTCCTTCCTCCCACCAGTTTCATTTCGGCGTGCTGCTATTGCCACGGAAGCGATTACGTATCACTGCTGTTCCTTTTTTGTGCAGTCTCCCCTCCTACTCCTCCTCCCCCTCCTCCTTCTCCTCCTCATCCCTCCTTTGGTCCTGCTTCTGTTGCTCCTGCTCCATACACCTTTCCCGTTGCCATCCTCCGTCTTTCACGTGGCCGAGGCCTCTGGCTTCTTCCTCCTGCTCCTTCTCCTCCCTCTCCTCCCTGATCCTGCTCCTCCTCATCCACCCTACCTTGTAACGCCACTCGCGGGGGCAGAACGCCATTGGATGCAACTTGCTCTGTGGAGCTTCGTGCTGTCCCCTCTTCCTCTCGTGTCCTTTCGCCGGGGGTCCACCCCTGAGGTTCTCGGAATTTCAAGGTCCTCCCTGTTTCTCTCCTCCCCGCTCATCATCCGCCTTCTCGTGCTGCAACTTGACCTCGTTCCCCCTCCGTCGTCCTCCTCGACATCTTCCTCTGCCTCGTCCTCCTGATCGTCCGGCTCTTATTCTTTTTTGTTATCGTTATTCCTATTGCTACTACTACCACCACCGCCATCACTACTACTACTACTACTACTACTACTACTACTACTACTACTACTACTACGACTACTACTACTACTACTACTACTACTACTACTCCTACTCCTACTCCTACTACTACTACTACTACTTCTACTTCTACTTCTACTTCTACTTCTACTTCTACTACTACTACCACTACTACTACTACTACTGCTACTACTACTACTACTACGACGACTACTACTACTACTCCTACTACTACGACTGCTACTACTACTACTACTACTGCTACTACTACCACTACTAATACTGCTGCTACTACTACTATTATTACTACTACGACTACGACTACTACAACTACAACACTAACAACTACAACTACTACTACTGCTACTACTCCTACTACTACTCCTACTACTACTACTACTGCTGCTACTACTACTAGTACTACTAGTACTACTACGACTACTACGACTACTACAACTACTACGACTACTACTACCACTACCACTACTACTACTACTACTACTACTACTACTACTACTACTACTACTACTACTACTACTACTACTACTACTACTACTACTACTACTACTACCACTACCACTACCACTACCACTACCACTACCACTACCACTACCACTACCACTACCACTACCACTACCACTACCACTACCACTACCACTGCTGCTACTACCACTACTACTGTAGCGATTATGTGTATTATTACTACTGCTACTGATAATGCGCATGCTATTCTGATTGTTAGTGGTATTATTCGTATTATGTTCCTTCTCCTTCTTCTTACTCTTCCTCTTCTTCTGCTTCATATAATTTCTATGCCTCTTCCTATTATTGTTGTTTTTGTTGTTTTTGTTATTATCATTACTATTATTACGCATAGTATCCATCTTCTTCTGGTTATTCCTCTTCTTCCTCCTCTTATGATTCTTTCATCCCGCTTCTCCTCCTTCTCCTCGCCACCCCCCCTGCGCCTGATATCCCCTTCTCCCCGGAGGAGGCGGAGGCGGAGGAGGGGGGAAGGAGGAGGATGAGGAGGAATGGAACAGACGATGCGGGGGGAGGAGAAGGAGGAGGAGGAATGGAATGGAATAGACGATGCGGGAGGATGAGGATGAGGAGGCGGTGGAGGAGGAGGAGGAGGAGGATGAAGAGGCGGAGGAGGAGGAATGGGGAGGGGGGGTAGGCATTGGGGAGGGGAGGGGGAGGAGAAAGAATGGGGGGGGGGGGAGGAGGAAGAGGTGGAGGAGGGGGTCAGAGGAGGAGGAAGCCGGAGGTGAAAGAGGTCTCTTTCCTTTTCTGCAAAACTATCAATGCGCTGATGATGAACACGGCAAGCTTCTCCACTGAGGGGGCCCCACCATGCTAAGCACTAGCCACGACGGAGAAGGAATGGAAGACTGGGAAGCGAGGGAAGGGTAACGAAGCGAGATGCCTGATGCGGCCGAACAGCGGCTGGCACTAGACACGAGCTCTACGAGCACAGCCGGACACGCATAATTAAGCAAACAGCACAAACTCCACGGGCGGCTGGGGTAGACGGCACTGTTCCTGAATAGACCATGCACGCTGGGAGCTCGACCACAAGAGACCTTCCAGGAAAAACCCAACCCTGAGACCCCAGGACGTCCATTGATTTTTGGTGTGGGAGCGTCATGCTTTCCGTAGCCAAACTATCGAAACCTACCTCAGAAGCCCGGGGCGCCCTGTAGACACGCAAGGTGTTTCTTGGCATGGGCTTCCGCTGTAGACCGCGTATCCTGACCGATATCTATCACTCACTCGGTAACTGGTCAAGGCGCCTCTCCTGATCAATCTGGCTCAGAACATCGTGAGGCGTAGTGTCGTGAGAGGGCTCGTATTCGACGAGAGCCTGGGCCTCATCCTCTGCAAATGTATCACTGGCAGCGCAAGCGCCGTCGACGAAATCGCCTTTTTAACCGGCCGTGCTGTTCTTCAAACGCGTTCAGCTCCTTCAACGCGAAGGAGAGAGATATCAGAGAAGGATTCGTTAGCGTGTCCATGAGAGTAGCGCTGCGGTCCCAATCAGACTTTGAATCAGAAAACAAAACGTTCGTCTTGAGAATGGCTCCCTGACGGTCGTTCTCCGCTTCCACTTCACTTTCTCGCGTGCATCCTGTTCACCTCCAGCTTCACGTTTTTCTTTGTCCCCAGCTTCCTGATCGCTGGCCCATCCATCAAGTGGGTCGCTTACGATCGCTGCTAGCCCTTTTTTAAGTTCCCTGCAATGGCCTCGCCAAGACTTGCCAGGGAAACTATCGTTACATAATCACTCTTGCATGTTGTCGCAAGACAACCGATCGTCGCCGTGCCCCACCTTGCCGCGAGGGTCGTCACCGCTGCTTGCCGAGGCAGCCGTTCCGCATCTGCTGTGCCTGAACG